CAATGGTTCTCTAACTGATATCAATCCGTGATCAACTCGTAAAAACAAGACTAACCCTTACAAACCAAACTATAGAGAATATTTTTGTTAATGTAAGTGTAGAACTTGGTCACTGTGGTAGAATGTAATTCCATACTAGGTAAGTTTATTTTAAATATCTTACAGCGAAGCAGTATTAACAATTGGATGACGTTTCGAACATAAATTATTTTACAATTTGTCTTATATAATATTAATCACTGAAGCTTTGTTTATCGATTCAACACCGCACACGTGCAATCGGAATGACCCAACGCCTATACTGGAGATATGAAAAGTGGCAATAAACAATAAAGGGAAGTTGGAGAGACAGAAAGGGAGAAAATACATATAAGATAAATTGTGAAACTGTGTGACTGAAATTGATATGATTATGAGCAATAACTTATGCTCGAATCGTCATCCAGTTGTTAATACTGCGTCGTTGTGATATTTCAAATAAACTTATCTAATATGAATTTTTTGTGTAGGACGTATAAACACATTATCAGAAAATCAAACGCTAGGAAATTCGTTCACTTTTTATATAGCTGAAATGGGATAGGATTCATTTATCACCTACAAAGAAGTAGTTGAGTTTTAAACTCACCTTTCAGTAATTCTTGAAAAACCACCTTCGTATTCACTCTCTGTTCAATGCACCAATGTAAATTATTTGTTGACACTGGCTAACTGAAACTAGTAACGGGATGTACCACTGGATTCGAATAAGTTTTTACCATTTTATTTTGTAAATTGTAACAACTCATTTCTTTTTTCGAATTTTGTTTTGAATTTCTTGTCTTGATTGACTGGGAAAGCTCCACAGTCCAATCATTGTAACTTAATATAAATACTGCCTGAAGGCTATTCATCATCTAAGGCAGTTCTGTGTTCGTTAGTGTACGTTGAATGTGTTTGTGATACTCTTATATTATTTTTAAGTCAAAAGAACTTCTACTATCCTAGTTAATACTCAAAAAAATCCATGCTGCTGCTGCTGCTGGATTCAACATAGAACTTGGCACCGAAGTGCAGCAGTTCGAGTTGCCACGTTCCAAATAGCACACAAAGGTAGACAAGAAAATGAGTGAAGAGAATCAATAGACTTTTGACAAGTATAAGGGTGAAACAGAATGAGTAATGGTAGAAAGGAATATGAAAGATTACAGAGACTGAATACATCTGAGTAAGCCATTGACAACGATTTTGAGCCATGTCAGCTATTGTCTCTTAGAGTTCCGAGGGCCCCAACCCGGAAGTCTGCATCTCCCTACCTGACTCAGTTTAACTGTCAGGGATTTCATGGATTGATGCTATGTTTTTGTTTGGCCACCACTTACTCTTTTCCAACCTGCACCTATTTCAGCTAGTAATGCCCGTCGGGGGAGACGATGAGTTACTTTGTAGGGATTTGATTTGTTTGAAGTTTAATCACGGATGGATGTCAGTTAGAGAGAGAGCCATTATAAAGTGGGGAGTACTGGACAGCTATTTTTTCTCACAATCAACCTAGTGCACCGCACTAGTCACTACTTCCCACTAGAATTCCAGGTAATTTCGTTCCATTACAAGTTACTAGCGAGCGTCGGAAGTCGTGACCACTGGGGTGCACCAGGTTGATTATGAGAACAAATACTCTCCGGTGACACTGGTTGGTAGTTGCGCTAAAATCACGAAGATGGAATTCCTGTGCCTTTGTATAGGGTAACAATGTTGAGTGGTCTATGGGCTCAACCGGAGGGTCCTGGGTTCGAACCCTGGTGGTGGTGAGTGATTACTGACCAAGGGTTGCAAAACAGGACGAAATAGCTGTCCAGTACTCCCTGTTTTTTCAGTGGTTCCCTAACTGACATCCATCGGTGATCCACGCTAAAACAAAGCAAAAAAATGGGCTTGGTAATTCGATTGTATTGAAAAAAATTTTGGTTTTAATTTTCAAGGTAGATTTCGTTACAAATCGATATCAGTTACAGAATCATTGGAAATCAGAAAGCACTAGACACCTTGTCTAGTCCTGGTTTGAAAATGTTTAGCACTTCGCACATACACGACCTCAACAGGAATCTAACCCATGACCTTCAGGTTACTAGATAAACATTCCATCATTTGACCACTGAGTTGGGATCCATTGACTCATCATGAATTTTAATGTCTGTCGATCTACGATATAGCACCATTGTCAACCGTCGCCGTCATTGGCGAGTATTGATCCTCACTCCAACTGTCACGACCTCACCAGAAGTCGATGGATCCAATCTCTGGTGAGTTCATAGGTGCATAGTGCCAGAGAGTCCTTCAGTAGAATGCAATAGCTGTCCAGTTCTCTCTGGTTTTCTATGATTTTCTAACTAATGTTTGTTCATAATTGAAATCTACCGTGAAGTTGATGGAATTTTCACAAACCCACCACTTGTTAAAGAAATTCTATTGATATGCTGTATATATATATATATATATAACTTTTATACAGTATTATTCGTTAAACTGCTAATGAATGATACCACAGCACACTTCATTCACTTTTTGTTTATGTTGATAAATAGTGTATAGCTCACAATATCATGCACTTGTCTAAAATAGAAGAAAGCTAGAAATGCTTTGCCATGACAATAATTCATCCAAGTTGAACAGCAAATATTGCAGCCTCATTTTAATAGGACTTATTATCGTCATCATCACTTTTCTATAAATCTTTATAGTCACACTGTACTTTCGACTGAAGAAACATTGAAAGCTTAGCAATTAGACCATCTAGCTCTGAGAACAGAGTAGTACCGAATATGTCCTTATCAGCTACAGTCTTCTCCATCATTTCCAGAAATTCAGGCTTATATAGTGTCCTTTTAACTTTTCATAACTGTAAGCCAGTTTGTTTAACACTTTAATTTCTGTGGTTATCTTCTCTCATTCTATTCCTGATGAGAAACTCAATAAACTACGCAGAGAGGGGGAGAGAGATGTGGGTCATATTTTTAAAGCTTTCTATCTTTAATCAGTGAACCACAGGTTTGAAACCTGATTCACCTATCCAGGTCTCAGCAGCTGTCAGGTAAGATCACTAACCTTCACACAATAGATGTGGCGAATTCCCAACTGCATTCAGTTGCAAGTTGTTGTTATTGTTGTTGAATAGCACTGACTGTTGACTATGACTAGTTGAAAGCTTACGCTCAACTTTCACCAGGACAACTAGTGTATATTAACTGATCCAGTTAAAATAGAGTAGAAAAGTTGATCCCATCTGCAGCATACTGTGTGTACTACTAGTGCAGTGTAGTTAAACTTATTTTTAGCCTTAAAACGCTATAATATCTAAATTATGGTGTGTCTAGTAATAGTAATTAATAATAGTAATAGTAGCCACTTTCTCGTAATGGATAAGCTTTTTCAATGATCTATCTGGGGCTATATCAGTGATCAATGACCTTAAAAGATAGTTTGTTGGTATGTTTCTGTGACCTTAGGAGGTTAAGATTGATATATATATATATATATATATATATGATCATTTAATTATTAAATACTGAACTGAAATACAACAGGAGGTTTGTGATTCTATACAATGGAAAACAAAAATAAGCAGAGTTTCTAAAAAAACTAGGTGTAATAACGTAGGCAGGGAGTGTAATCCAGTCACGTGAACGTAAATTTTATAGTTTTCCTTAGAAGAAGCACTGTGTGCTTTGAACAATGATTTCTTATTAGATTATAAGATCCATTTATAGCTCCACCAACTGCATTTTGAACAGCTGGCTAATATCCTTAATCTTTACAGAATCGGTATAACTTATATTTTGATGTACGAATCTGTACATTATATAAATCTAGCTCATTGACTTTTAAACAGTTGACTTTCGGTCAACGGATGGTGGGTTCCACTGCTTCATCTTCTTTAGCTTGGGCATCCGGGTAGCATCTTTAACTCGAACTGCTGCACTTCGGTGCCAAGTTCTATGTTGAATCCAGACAGACAGACAGATCTTCAGCCCTCACATAAGAGATATGCGTCGTAACCTTTTCCAGCTAATTTAGTTCAAACAAACAGTGTATTCTCCTAGTAATCACATTTTTAGTTAGTGCTTCTTTCTTCAATACTTTTGTAGTCAAAATCCGTAGCTTCGCACTTCCCGCATCACTTTACTAGTAGGTAGAATTTTGCTGGTTGCCATGGTTGGTGAATAGTTGAACTTCACAACGGGTTTTTTTTAATACGCCAATATCTGCCTGTCTATTGATCTTTAGTCACAACATGTATTTGTAACTACTTGCTGCTACCTGCCCACTTACACTCATTTTTTGTTCCCCCGACTTTTACCTCGTATCTGTTTATGTAAGTCATTCATTTTGTTTGCTTTATTTCTCCTTCTCTCCCTTATTTCTACTTATCATTGTTCTCTTAATGTGATTGATTTTTCTCCGTGATGTTATATACCTTGGTCGTTAGGTCGTCTTATCAGTCAACAGAAGTGATATGTTGGATCGCCTTAGTGACTGGGAAAATCAGGTTTAGCTAGCTGAAATAAAACTCTTATAAATAATAGGTTTGATTGCTCCCCATAATATCCTCATGTTGAACTTGGCATTGTCTAACTTTTTATTGCTAACATTACAGTCTGTCGTAAAACCAGCATCATTGAGATCATTTTGGGTAAGCATAAAACTTGCCGCGCTTTCGTTTCACTATACTTGTATAGTTAGAATGGAGGCGGTCAATTACGGTTTGAATTTGCTCAGGTAGTTGGTTTTGTACTTTGGGCCTGGAGGAATGCTGTAATCGTGTTAGCTGTTAAGTTCGATTGTTTTAAAGGTGTCTTACCGACCTTTTTACGCAACTGGAATATATCTGTTGTGACGTCGTCCGCTATACTATGCGTGAAAACACTTCGCAATAGCCTTTATCGTCAGTCATTATTTTGAATTTATTATTTCAATTGTTTGACTTTATTTTGTTGATTTTTTTCTCTCTTTCTTTTCCACAGATACGTTTCTCACGTCCAATTTAAGTTATGTTCTAAAAATTCAAGGGAAGCTGTGTCATTTCTTATTGAAACGATCAAGACGATATCTACGTCAGCTGATAAATCGTTCAAACGAATCACAGGCGAATTGTCTATCAGTAGATGGTTTAAATAAATTATTACTTCTACCGGATAGATATGGACGAATTTTATTAGAATTAGCTGAAATAAAATACCTTGCCTTTCAATTGGAAAATTTTCTACTATCACGTTATAGATCTGCTAAAATACCAAATGAAAGTTTATTAAGTGAAATGTTATTAACAAAACGTAGTCGAATACCTCCTCAACCGTCAACAACATCATCATCATCAACAGCAGCGGCAGCATCCACAGCCACAGCGGCATCATCTAATCTGATGACATCAATGCAATCGTCGTATCAACCTAATCGTCAATATCCTGTGTACAGTAATAACAATAATAATAATTTGAAAATTCCTGCCACACCCTCCTCTTCCTCGTCGTCCTCGTCCTCCTCCTCATCATCATCAACAGCATTGTCCTCTAATGATATTGTCATGCTTACTAGTAGTGATCGTAGATCAGACAGTGAAATCAAATCATTTACAGTTGATAACAATAAGAGTAATTTAGTAACAACAAGTACCACCGTTAGTAATGATATAAAATTGAATTCTGTGAATTGTATTCCTTCGTCAACAGCATCATCCTCTCCGTCTGTACATCTTCAGCCACAGTGTTCTTCCACTTTCCTATCAAATAGTAATAATTCATCTGTGTTATTAATTGATGCACAGAAATCTTGTCCATCTTTTCTAAATTCATTTTCTAATCCTGTATGTGCTTTTACATCATCTCAGGTAACTGAAAATTGTTTTCATAAGAAAAATGATATTATTGTTATTATAGTAGTAGTAGTAGTGGCAATAGTCATAGCACTATTGGTACTACTATTACCACTACGATGACAACCAGCAGCATAACTCCTCCTCTTCCTACTACTACTAGTAGTAGTGATAGTAATGAACTATACAGATCTTTGTCAAATATTACTACGACACCATCATCAACTATCATCAATCTTCATCATACCTCACTTTTATCATGAGAAAAGCATTTTCATTTTGTTTTCTTGTTTCTTTTTGTACTTATTCTGGTTGCTATATTTTTCCTCTTTAGTGTGTACACTTGAGTGTAAATCAGAGAGATTGCGCTCGAGAGAGTGAGAGATACATGGAAAAGGAAGAGGGGAAAGATGGATTGTGGGGATGGTGGGAAGGTGGTTTGATCGTCTTTTCTATTTTATCACCTTTTAATATTCCTTTTTTCCTTTCTGAATAAATGCCTTGATTTGTCTTTTTCTAATGTTTCGTTAGTTTATTTATTTACTTATTTGTTTGTTTGTTTTCCTAGAGGTTTTGTTTTCTTATATGCCTGTACATGTATGCATACCATGCTGTTGTTTCTTTCACCGATCGACTGATTGGTTTATACAAGAAACCACACGTACAAATGTATTCCTGTACACTCCTGATAGTATCCTTTTTGATATTCGATACTTCTTGGAGGGAGAGAGAGAGAGAGAGCGACATGATTGACACCTTCTAAATCTTATGAAGAGTATTCATTGTATTTTAATGAAATACAGTTGTATATATGGTGTTTGGTGTGTTGAAAGACTACAAAGTTGAAGAAACCTTTCAACTAGTGTGTGTGTTGTTAATATTCATCTTTTCAATTTCAATCGTTTTTCACACATATTTCCCTCCTCAATGACTTTCCCTTCTTGATGTGTTGTGTGCTAGGCTGTGAATATTTTTTGACTTGTCGAAGCTTTTATTTATTATTATACAAATAACATAACCGTCAGTTTTAGCATACAGTGTTGCCAAGATACATAAACATATATATATATATATATACGCAGTTGTTGACCAACGTTTACCGTCATTTCCACCTACATGTACAGAAAAAGAAAAATTCTTAAAAAACAAACCATGTTTCATCTACCTCATTCTCAATTGCTATTATGATCCTTAACTTTTGTTCTTTATTGTCACGATTAATTAGTCATGTGAATCACGATAGTTTGTGTGTATTTATTGGTTTGTGTGAGGATGGATCACGATCACACACACATACAAACATGGAGATGGATAATATGCATACGTTAATTCTCATTCTCAGGCAGTGTTTTCGTTGTTTTTTTGTTGCTGTCGTCTTTTAATCTCTCCCTCTCTTATTTATAGAAGTATTCGTATGTTTTTTCTTTTGAACTTTATAAAACACACACACATAAGTGCATTTCATTGTCTTTTCCGTTGTCTCTTAAAAAAAGTGTTCTAGAGAAGCAGAAGAACACTCGGCTTTTGTGTGCACACTGTATATCAGTTTTGTTAGTCACTTCTAGTTATCTTGAAAAGTTTTCCTTTTCAACAAAACTCAGGACCTCTTAGTTTTCTTTCTTTTTTTTAAAATTTCTAGTAGTCTCTTAATTTTGTTTTCTGATTGTAATGTGAAATACAAAATGAAAACTCCTTGTTTTTCCCACAAGTCTATACATATTATTAAATGTATGCCTAGTACTGTTGTTATTATTTTCATAAAGCCAATTACTTTTAATGCACAGGATATTTGTCTAATCATATTGTTGTTTGCATTTATATTAGCAATTGTGTAGTAGGATTTTTGTTGATATTTTCTAAACCCCTCAGTTTTTGTTTGTTTGTGGTGTTTGTACGCAGAGATTGCTGCTCAATCTCATCTTTTTGTGTATGTGTCTGTATGCGGTATATAGTGTCGAATAACCTCATACTCATTAATTTGCTCACTGTCTACTATTAGTATCCTCACTGGAGATTATGTTTTTACAGCTGCTTCTATTTTTTTGACTAGTTTATCATGTCGCTGTCCCTCTGCGTAACTCCCCCTTATCCTTCTTCTACGACTATAAGACAATCATTGTTCAATAAAAGTCTATCGTTACCTTGTTTTGGATAAAGAAAATTTGATGTTATTGTATCTGTTATCTGTGAGGCGATTGATTCATACAACTTCCCCAACTACCCATTCACCTCTGTTTTTTTGTTATTGTTCTGGAGCTGTCATCGGTCAACTTTCTTTTTATTGATCCGTTATGAATCTCATCACCTCCTAGTCCTGATTATCCTGAGTAGACTAATTAACGTTTGTGGGATTATTAGTAAAGTGGAGAAGTATCCTGCAACAAAAGAGTGTTGTATATGCTGTATGTTTTACATTATCTTTCTGATTTTCTTTCATTTATCATTTTTATCTACCTCTGTAATTCTTGCATTCAGTTACATCGTATTGTGTGTGTGTGTGCATATTGTTGTTCTTTTATTTATTTGTTTCTCCTTTTGTAGTTGCCTTCTCTTTTGTGTCATTTTTACTACTGTTTTGTGTGCTGTCCAACACTGTCTTTTGATTAAGATTTTCCACACACATAAAAATATAAGATGTTAGCATATTATGTACCAATAACGCTCAACATATATACTCATTCGTCGAGAGTAAATGTGAAGTAGAAAGTATACTACTGAACTGATTCTATTCAATGTGATTATTCTTTCTCCTTTCTTACAATTCAACAAGTGTACTCAGCGTCTTTTGTGTGTAAATGTTGTTTCCGTTACCTCTTAAATGCATTTTTTCTCGGGATTTATCAATCTTCTTGTATATATGTGTCTATACACTATTTATATGTAAGTGAAATATTCATCTCAACGTATGTGTGTGTGGGTGTTTCATTTCCATTTTCTGTGTCACAAATGTAGGTGCTGTTGTTGCTGTTGGTGTGGCCATGATGATGATGTCATCAACGTTGAAACGATCAATTCTCTCTCTCTCTACCTTGACCATTTCAAATTTTTGCGTATACTGTTTGAAAACAGGTGGTTTACACGCGAAATAAACAAACAACAAGAACAAAAATAAGTCAATACATTTTCTCCCCTTTGTCTTCTTCTTTATTTTTATCCCCATTATTTGTGTTTTATACAGAGAGTGAATTATGTAAGTTGTATTTTTGTGTCAATACACTTCATTGTTTTGTCAACTTCTATTCAGTTGACTTTTCTCTCCATTGTTTTTTTTGTGCTCCTTTTGTTATTCAGATAATATCATCAATAAATGAAAGATAATCAAATTTAGTACTCAGGAATTTAATTGTACATACTTATTTCTCTTCATTTTTGTTAGTTGACTTACTCTATTGTTTCTTTCTCCTTGTACTGCTACCTTTTCTTTTCGTGTCAGTTTAGAGTGTTTTCGCTTTCACTCATTCACACTGTTTGGCTGGCTAGCTGTTGTGTGTGTGTGTGTTTGTATATTCATTCGCCTTTCTTTTCCTAGGACTTTTATTCATGTATTTATTTAATATTAAGTAAATGACTGTGAATGGGACGACCACACCTACCTACTTGTTACCCTTATTTTCACCTTTGGATCACCTCTCTTTGTGTGCCTCTGAATTGTTGTTTCTCTACCTCTCCCGTATTTAGCTTTTTTCTTATTCAGGCAGCTTTTTATCGTATAACTAACTAAGTAAACTAACTCAGTAACTAATTCAATATCCAACACATTTATGTCTGTAATATGAATTCAAATATTTTTGTTTTACCTACCTCTATTACTATTTGTATTCATCAGTATACACATATATGTGTGTGTTAGTGTATTTATTGTTCAGCTGAAAGATATGTGTAAGCAACACATACACACACACACACACATGTAAATCCACTGTTACTTTGCCTTGTACCGTTGTAGTTCTTATTTTCCGCCACCCCCTCCCACCATCACTCCCAACTCCCTCTTTCTTTTTTGTTATTTTTTAAAATCCTCATGTATTATATCTAGTTATTACGTTTTATTACCTATTATTTCAGTTTTTGAGTAACACTAATGCCAGTGTTGTTTTACAAATCCTCTACTTCCACTATTATTGTTATTATTATTATTACGATGATGACGACGATGATAACTAAAAATTAAATAAAATTAATTTTGTGAATATTCCCTTTTAACTTCTAAATGTATGTGTATATATTGATTCGTTGAAAAAGACTAGAGGTTATTGAGGTCTGAGCTGCTGTGTGTGTTTCAGTGAGGTTCGTATGTGAGCTTTTGTGTATGTGTGTGTGTGTGTGTGTGGCGGGAACTAAGCTTATCGTAGAGATTATGCCTGTCATGCGGTTGGCTTGCAAACTACATTTATTCTTCCTATATGATAACTGATATCGTTGTAGTTCTCACTTAAAATGATTTGTGTTACACAAGTTAAACTGTAACGGCTGATTATAATATGCTAGGAGGAAATACGTGCGTCAGTGATTCAATGGTATAGAATACTCGTCAACCAAGTTGGAGGTGTAGGTTCGACTCCCAAATGATGCACTCTTAAATCTGGCTTAGTTTATTTATTTAACCCGTCAAAATGATACCACTACTACTGAAACTGCAAAATAACCTGAATCCGTATCCTCCTTAGAACTCAAGGAGCGAGAAAGGAAGGAAGATGCAATATTGCTGTTGTGCTTTCATACAACGCACGTATTAAATATATATTCCTGACACTATCTTTTGATTACTATGGTGATTTAGAAAGTGGCAGTTGTATGAGTAGTTCTGGTAGAGAATGTTAAATAAACCTGTGTTTGTATGGGTATCGACGTGAAATTATTTAGGTTGTCAGTCCATCTTATGTTGCTGGCCTCTTTTACCCACGAAATCTGTTTTTATCCATTTTTCTATTCTAACCCAGCTATTATTCTTCTCATATTGTATTCGATTATTTTCGTGATGAATTCAATATAAATGAGAGAAAAGGAAAAAAAGGCTTAAACATGATTCATATTTATTTCTAAGTCAATGGTGTGTGTGTTTGTTTCCCTATTTGATTAGAAGTTCACATAGCTCCTTCTTAATAAAAAATTACAGTGACCTCGATGAGTCATCCATATTATTTCTCATATCCTATTAGTGTTAATATTGTGACCACTAGAGCATGTCATCTAATGAAGAACTGAATAAACAACTCATTAAGGTCAGCATTTTTTATGTTTAGTCATGAACTGACTTCAGTTAGAGGACCTTTGAAAACCAGGAAGTACTGGACGTTTGTCTCGTCCTTCTTGGAGTATCTTCATCAGTACTCACCCATGATCACACCCGCGATCGAACTCATGAGGTGAGCTTGTATGCCATCCAACCAATGCAACACAATCCAATGTTCCCCCATGAATTCTAACTTCTGCCAATTTGTTTCATTTAGAGCGACCACCAGCCTTCGTCGTTGACGAGCACTTTTCCTCATACCCAACCTGGTCGACCTCGCTGATCACGATTTCCCACTAGAAATTCAGGCAATTTCATCGTATAATAAGTCACTAGTAGTGAGCACTAGATTAATTTTCTGGTATTGATTTGCAGATATCTGATCAAAATCAAGTTTGATTACGAACTGACCTCAGTTAGAGAACCATTAAAAATAAGGGAGTACTGGGCAACTGTTTCGTCCTTATTTGGGACTGTTCAGCATTACTGACCCGATAACCCCTCCAAGGAAAAAACCTTCAGTATTTTATCTAAGTCATTACTTTACTAGCCACCTGAGACACATATACGTTTGTAAATAGTCGGTTTGTGTAGTAGCTAGATTGGCCTTTATAATCGTCTATAAATGAAGTCAGTTGCAGGATTAATTCGTTCGAAATTTGTGATGTGAGAAATTTCCAACCACAAATTACACTTCTCTTAGCCTAAATACTAGTTTAATTTATGACTCCGTATTCATATGAGGAGATTAGAGGATGCAATGAATTTATTGTAAACCTTTATGACAAGTAAAATACCGAATATTAATTTAGTTTACAGTGTGCATAGGACCACCTCTAAGTGCAACTGATGTTAGGTAATTACATATTTGGATTTAGAAGAAACACTAAATTGTCATGTGTTTTGGACTAGTGGAATATGGCGCCAAGTAGCTTACTTCTGAGATTTAATTACTCCAAAAAAGGTTTCTACTAACTTGATAAGCTGTAGTTTACAGTTTCGTTTGTTTTGTTACTGTACTATGATGTGTATTATTCTCGTTGATTATTTTAACGGTAGAATAATAATATTATGGATTTGAAATTAATTACCAGACATCTATCCAGTGATGATTTAGCCAGCATATTTTATTTAACTTTTCGAAGGGAGTTGGAATTTGCTTCCTACCACCTATCAAATTAAACATCACAGCATATTTCATCTTATTTAATTATGTGATGAAAGCGATTTTCACTAATTTATATTGACTTTGTTAGATGGTTGGTTGGAGGCGATCGACAGGAAGTTTTGAACTTAGGTTTCGTGTTTTGTTGCCACATTGTAAACTTGACTGATAGAATTCAGTCTACACCAAACGAAGAACTAGACAGTGGCATTATTTACTATCTATTGTCCAATCGAAATTGTATATTGGTTCTGGTAAATAAGTGATAGGATTTTGAAAACACGTAAGTCACTGGATTCTCAATCCCTTTCTGAATAGTTATGTACTACTCATTGTAAGGTTTGACTATCCTAGGCTTAATTGTAATTTACTTTTGTGATATAGACTATGAAACATTCGTTTATGTTTATTCGTTCTCTACATGATGTAGGTCGCTGATGAACTTCTTGTAGTTTTTTGATCGTTATTCTAAGGATCGGCCTTATTATACGATAGATTGAATGAAGTTGAGATGAAATCAGAGTTATGGCGAAATGGTTCAATCTACCTTGCGGCACACTTTGTTGGCTTACTAGCAAACACATCTTTGAAGTGACATAACCTAGTTGAATGGCTTGTATGGTGTAGAGGGTATCATTGTTTATCCCTTATTCATGTGATACTGAAGATGAAATTGACCAGCTAGAAAGAATAAGTAACAAGAAACTCTGGGAAAAAACTAATGAGGAGCTGATCGCTCAACAAATATGTTGGAGAAAGTGGAGATGGATCAGGCATAAGTTGTGGAGGCCGTCGCGTGTAACGCAGGCTATCGCCCGAGTGGAATCCCAATGGGGAGCGACGAGTGGGTCGTCAGTGCGAAGGTGACATGGAGGAGGTTGTGCTAGGAGGAGGAAATGAGAGATTATGGGCAGTCGTGGATCCAGCAGAAAATAGGAAAAGTGGAGGTGTGTTGCTGAAGCCCTATGTTCCACTCGGAACCCAGGGGAACAATAATGTTATAATAATACATGTGATACACCTGTGTGAAATAGTCTTTTTATAAGATTTCAAATTTAGTCTTTGCTAAGAATATGATAGTTTATCTTTTAATGATTTTCTGGGTAATCTAAAAACTATTGTCGCGACGCTTATTATGACTGATAATGTTTTAAAAATTCTCTTCTACAATACACTTTAAGTGTACTTTTGTGATTAAAACATTTCAAAAGACATTTCGCAAAAATACGGTTATGGATAAATCTTTTTCATCGTATAAATGCAACTTCGATGATAAGTCAACTAGAAGAAGAATTCATAATTAAATCGTATTCAATTCGAATTCCCTAACTGTTAGACCTCCCTTATTAAATAAATTAACTTTAGGAAAATAGTGTTGCCTATTATTACGGATAGGTGAATTTCTTATCAATAATTAATTGCCTACGAGTATACATAAATCAGTTGAATGAATGTTTCCTTTATACTTTTCTGTGGTTTTGAAGCGTGTAATCACATGTAACACTATTGATACGTGTATGCATTCATTTGTAGATGTATAGCAACTATTTTCCCAGGGTGATTCGATAATTAAAATTCTTTACTGGTTATGAGTCAATATCATATATCTGTGACATTTGTTAGCTAATCAGTTATGTAAGTTGGAGGAGCGTCACTTATATATTTTAATAGTATCTGTTATATCCGTCCAACAGAATTATGCAAAACTACTGAGACATGTAGTAAATTTGATTTGTCTGTTAGAAGAATATCACTGTCATTCTTCCTTCTAGTTTTATTATTTTATTTAGTTGGATGGTAGTGACACTTTCTTCTTATACGATTAGTGTGTGTGTGAGTCAAACTTCATATACATGCCACTGCTACTTACTTGACTAAATGAAATGTGATTTGAACTCACCGTGCGTCGGTGGCACGATGGTTAGGACTCTCGCCGACCATGCACATGGTTCGAGGTTCGATCCCCTGCCAACGCACATCCGATATCTATGGTCGGCGTGTAAATTTAGGCTACCGATATCCATGCTGAAAACCCCATACTTGTACTGAAAATACGGTGTGGCATCAAGCTGTAACCAAAATAAAATAAGTTATGGTTTGAGCTAGTCAAACACAGGTGAATTCGTATACTGATAAAATAGATCTAATGCACACTGGTGGTTGAATTTCTGATAGAAAGTCGTGACCAGCAGGGTTCATCGAGTTGAACTCTATATTGACCGAAATTAGAATTTATGGGTCATTGGATTTCGTCCCAGTTGCTGAATAATCAACAGGCTGGCGTCATCACCCGAAGATTTTGAGTTTGACCACCTGTGGGCTCATGGATGCGTACTGTTGAAGAGTCACCAACTAGGACTAACCAGCTGTTCAGTACACCCTGATTTTCAATGGTTGCTATAACTGAACTCGATTTGTGTTTAATCTTGAAAATTAATATGTTCAGTTCACTAAGATCGAATTAGTGAAACACAATGTAAAGCGTCTTGTTCAAGACAGTGGTCGAAATTATCAAACTCAGAAAGTAAGCAGGCTAAATAAAATTAGACTTAGAGTAGCAAAGTGTTAGTCCTCTGAAGCACTATGATGATGAAGTGGTTCTGTATTGAAACTAGAGATTTTGAGATATTTGATCTAGTATGTGTAGTCATCAGTTTATGTGGAATCTCTTGACCTATGTGAAGCACTAAAAGCTTAGCGAAAGGAGCAAATCATTTATTTACGTGTATATATTTCGTGTAGGAAATGTTCTTTGACAATGTAACCATAGGCCAGAATGCGTTTTGTAGTTGTCTACGATCATTTCACCCATAAGTTTTGCTTTGCATTTTAACTAACTGGTAATTGTAGGGCAGTTATTCTTTAAATTGTAAATGCATTACTGAGTGATACACCACTCGGTTGATTGTCTTCTGTTTTGTGTTTGTTGTTTTGATTGTTTCACTCACTGTTTGCTTTTATTTGAAGGGCTGGTTTTTTCTTATGTATGTTGATAAATGTATTTTCTTTCTTTTTCTTCTCCTTCTAGGCACTTTTTCTGTCTGCTTTCTGATGATCAACATTCTACTCCGTACGCCGATTCTACCCATCACTCTATCACTACCTGAGGGTTCTTGATGGTTATCGTCGACTGAAAATATTATAAGTGTAATGGACGTTTTTATCATTGTTTTTATGTAGACTACTGATTTCTTCGTTACTGTTTTGTAGTATAAGTTTTTTTACTTTGATAGTTTGAGAATTTTTCGGGATTTGTATTTTCATGAATGAAAATCTCAAAGGTTAATCATAATCTGACTTCAATTAGAAGACCACTGAAAGCCAGGGAGTGCTACAAAACCACTGTTTCGTCCTAGTTTGGGACTATTTAGCTGTACTCACCCACGGCACCACTAGGGGTAGAACTCGGGACCTTCAGGTTACGACGGCGACTCGTTGATCATTCAGCCACTAGATCGGAATTCAGTGGTCATGTTTTCTAACCCTAACCTCTATCAATGGGCGATATAAAGTGCAACTGCCAAATTCGTGGTCTTAATTTAAATCAATCAAATCCCTGCAAATGGACACTTGAAAGTTAATTTAACACACAATAGTGGCTGACTGCAGGATAAAGTTCTCAGTGGGGTCCACTGTGAGGACAAGTACTCATCGATGACATTGGCTACTGATGGCTCTACATATCTCAAAGTTACAATTTATGCGTAGGTCATTAGATTCTTTACCGGAAGCACTACGGTTAATGGGCTAACGTCGTAACCTGAAGGCCGTGGATTCGACCACTGGTGGGGTTACGAGTGCATACTGATGAAGAGACCAAAACTAGAATGAAACAACGATCCAGTACCCTCTGCTTGTCAACTGGTGATCTATCCTGAAATCAACCAAAGGCTTGTAAATCAATACTTAGAAAGATCTTAAAGCTAGACTGAATGTCATTTATGCTGGAGATGATCAACAAAGTGAAATTTTTCTACCCTATATTAGTGATCAGTCGGCATCTCTAGCTGATCCTATTTTACTTCTTAAGTGAAAATGAAGAACCTCATTGTGACACTGACATAACAAATAAAAAATCCTCCCCAATAATATACTTAATAATGATGTATTTATTTGACTGCTTTGTGTGACTGAAACGAAGATCACTTATAGTCGCAGTATCAAGAGATTTTTACAATGAAACTAAGCTTTCATACCACTAAGCATAGGTGTCATCTAGAACGCCAGTTGGGAATAATCACCTCCATGTTTATGGTGTTTTTTTGTAATCCAGAGAAATCCCAATTTCGAACTGTACATATGTATAAAAAACGATGTCCAATAATCAGAATGAATCACCCCGGTCATCCAGTTATCAATCTGAAAAATTATTCCAAAATGAATCTGATTTCAAATCTATGGTTATTAAATTGGTTCGTTCTGGTGATGTTGCCTACCTGAAGTTGTTGGTTGAATTGATCAATCCCTCTTCCTCCTGTACAAAAGTTTCATGTTTAAGAAGATTGTCAGATATTAAAGACCATAAACAATGCAATTTGGTTCATATTGCTTGTAAATATGGAAATAAAGAAATGCTTGAGTAAGTTTCGTTTGAACTGTCTTATTTATTTGTGTGACTTGTGCCTTATCGTTATATTCATTATTTGTGCCATATACGACAAACTGTTAAATATATTTGAAAGTAGTATAATTAGTATAATATAATTTCATCAAAATTTTAACAGTGTGTATTTTATGAAGAAGTTAGTGGTACAGTCACACATAGCAATAGGATATTTGATCACCTTTTTTAGGTGGAATTAAGCTTTAATGTGAATTTAAGAAAAAATCACAATGCCGATTTCTTTCAGAACCAATATCAATTAGAGGATCAGTGAAAACCAGGGAGCGGTGGACACCCGTTTAGCCCTAGTTTGGGACTCTTCAGAAGCGCACACTCATAACCTCACCGGCAAAGATCGAGGCCAGGACCAATTATCCACTGGGTTGGAATTCAATGAATTCTCAGGTGTCGTCAGTGGGAAAAAAATGTATTCAGGAGAAGTGGATGCCTACTGATGGCATTGGTTTAAACTCCATTATGGATAAGATTTTATTTTGATAAATCACACAGTGTTATATAGTAATATTAACTGATGACGTTTCGAGCATAAACTATTATGAGCAATAGTTTATGCTCGAAACGTCATCAGTTAATATTACTGTATAACACTGTGTGATTTATCAAAATGAAATCTTATCCATAATGGAGTTATACTTTACCACAATGCCCAAGTTTTATACTTATATCAATAATGCATTGGTTTATGGTAGCTCTACATCAGGAATTGGTATTATTTCGACCCAGTGGCTGAATGGCCAATGGGCTCACCTTATAATATGAATACTCTCGGTTCGATCTGTGCTGATGGGCACGTACTGCTGAAGAAAGTGCCGAACTAGGACGAGACAGCTTCCAAATGCTGTGTAGTTTTCAATGGTCCTTCAACTAGTGTTGGTTCGCAATGAAATCGGCATTGAATTAAATCCAGATTAAAAAACCCCATTGAGAATTATTAAAGAAAGGACGTTTAGTGAAGAGCTACTCTTCTCAGCAATATCATTCTCAAGCCCTACAATATATATATATATATATATATATAATAAATCATCTCAACAACAAGAGGAGTATTTCCAAATATGTGTCATTAGAGTAGTAGATGTTTTAAATAACAAATTACGCAACACAAAAGAGTGTTAATCGGGACTACATCTGTCTTACCAGATGTGTAATTTTTGTCTTTTAGTTGTATTATTTCCCACCCTCACCCCTTATTATATTTCCACTCCGTATTACCACTGTTGTCAACTTGACTGTAGTTCAGTTTTAGTCTAATTCCACTCAATCCCATCAATTGTGTCACGTCAGTCAATTTGCTTATTTAATTTAAACTTAGTTTCTACCCGATTAACACTCTTATGTTGCGTAATTTGTTATCTAAAACATTTACTACTCTAATGACGCATATTTGAAAATACTCATTTTGCTGTTGAGATGATTTACTATATATATTTGATTGTAGGGCATGAGAATGACATCTCTGAAAAGAGTAGCTCTTCATTGAACGTCACTTCTTTTAAATGCAAATCCTGATAAAACCCATCGCCTGAAAAAAACTAATTGGTAGTGAGACTGTATAAGGTAGTTATAGGTGGACAGATTTTCATTGATGTAACGGGTAATGATTGAAGGTAAACTGATAATCTCGGTCGCTGCAGCAATTTGAACCAGTGGTCCATGAATTGGCTGAGCAACAAAAGTTAATTCATTTCAACAAATTCAATATTACTGGTCGTATGCTAGCTGAACATATAGTTGGAGTGTATATTAGTATATAGAGCTTGATTCTTCAAATACACCTATTAGGTCGAAACAAATGCGAAAATGGATTGCTTTTATCGGCATAGGAAAACATTATATTCTGTAAACATTTGCTCAGTTAATACAGAGACCACAGCAACGAACTTAACACAACTTGTTAACTAAGTTTTTTCCTGCTCTTATTGTCAGATTTAACAACTAAATGGAATAATGTATCAACTGAACACGTGACCCGGGTTCGATCCCTAGCTGACGCACTCCTAAATGTCGCCTAGTTAGCAGTAAGCGCTATTAGAGAGGGAGAGTTGAGCAGAAGGCTAGCAACCCCAACCTGTAAAAATACACCACCGTTACTGAAAATTCAAAGCTTGAAGACCTATATATATTTCACTAGGAATGTAAGAGAATAAAAAAGAAAAGTTATTTTAAGAACTAAGTTTTTGTGTGATATCATAAATACACACTGTTATTCTTTCATAACAGTGCATACTACTGATAGGTTGATTTGAGTAGCTGGAAACTATTCTCATCAACTAGGCATTAGCGCTAACCATCCACATAGAAATGGTCTTTTTGCTCGTTTCGGGGTCATCATGCAGTAACGCTTGTTTTCTTGATTACCATTCGCCGTACCAAGCAGATTACATATTGTGATTTGGATATTTAGACTTTTTAAAGGAAGTCGTGGGGAATTTTCACCTTGAACTTTGTAATATACGAATTTCGGGTTGGTTATTATTCTAGGGATAACTTTGTGTTTAGAAATAATATTTTCCGTGTACTTGTTTAAAACAGCAGTTCTGTAGTTCATGTTCCTCTAGACAACAAAGACAAGAAGAAAAACAAGACGAGTTTGAGTATAGGAAAATTTATTACTTTACTTTCAGACAGAGGATTCTAATGTGTTTTAATTAAACAGTATTCTATGGCTGTCATCAAAAGTTCAAAATAAAAATCAGTCACCTGTTATCTTGTAACAGAAAAAAAGACGGAAAGAAAAGCTTAATAATGAACTAATACACAACGGAGGTTTAGTAGTAGCGTGTCAAGACAAACTCAAATACTTGGTTTTGATGATAGTCAAAAGAGTACATAGGCTGATAGAAGTTGAGTGTTTTATATCAATGTGTTCTAGTAGTTTTGTCCATTTACGAGCTTCGGTATTTCTTCAAGGGTTTTAATGTTGTCTTATATCTTATCTTCAGTATTGTGTCATGTAGAATAAAAATATGTCAAAAGAATATGTTGAAAAATCTTCGGCTTTGATTACAGTGGATAACAAGATGGTCGCACCAACACAAAGGAATAGAACCATGATATTGGTCACTCTATAATGAAGCGGCATTTGGCAGTGTGTGTTTGAGTCTTTAAGGGCATGTGCGATTACAGACACACCTTGTCAACCAGAAAGAAATATGGGTCCAGGAATTCCTGTCGATTGTCTGAAATCAACACCTAACACCAATTTGAAGTACATCACTATGGCGAGTCACCTTGGCTGGTGATCACTTTACAAGACTGACCGATAGAATTCAGTTAGCATCTATACAAAGTACTAGGAACGTGACACTGGTTACTTCCTAGTGTTCAATCAGTGTGAAGACAAAAGTCATCGAACTCACGAACTTTCAGGAAATTCTCAGCTTTGAATCAGCCAGGTTATACAGTTTATATATCAGGAATTGCCGCCTTGAAGTTTCGTAAACTGTTGGGTGGAACGTGGAAAATGGTGCCCAGAGTAAATTAAATCAGTCTATACCCCTCTGACTTTTAATATACGACTGAAAATCTCATCTGTTCGTTAAAAACAAAGTTCACTTTGAATTAGAAAAAAATACACGTAATAATTCAAATAACAACTTATTTATGATGATTGATTTTATGTACTCAACCTACACAGTATAAAAAATTGCTAAGAACGTTGTTACTGAACAATGTTCGTAGACAAGTGTTGTATTTAACTGCTAGTGTAACAACAGAAGACAAGGGCCAGGCAACAGATCGTTTATTAAGGAAAATCAACACATAGATTTTATAGATTTTAATGTACATTATTGTCGATTATTGTTAGTAGAAAATACAGTCTTTTGATTGGTTGTTTCTCACAGAAGGTTAACCTTGCATCTCTTTGTGGCTGTGTCAGATCATCCATATGCTAACTGTACCTGCCTACGCAAAGCCTTTCTTCTCATTTTCTCACCACCAATATTGGGGACATAAATATTGGCGTCAATTACTGTCTACCAACTTTGGCTAGCAGCCAGCTCTCACCACACTAGTACCACAGTTAATATTTAGCACTCAGATGCCATTCAACAACATGGAACCAAGGTTCCATGCGGTGAATTTTCACCGCTCATATCGCTGCTTTGTGAAGTATCAGCCAAGATTAGGAAGTTTTGCAAAAAGAAACAGCCAAAGCTAAGAGAGCAACAGAATTACCAGAACATAAGGCTTTGTATTATTACTGAATATCGATCTGAACGTGAACATGACTCCGAGACATTTAACTGAAGTCAACATAAATGAAACTGAAGCGGTTAAAAGCATATTTAGGGATTCATAATATAACATGCTACTGATTGATTGATATGAGTAGTTGGATACTACTGTCACATCGACCAGAATCGCTTGCTAGCCAGACGGAAATGGTCTAAACACTGGACAGTTGTTTAGCTCGTTTGGGACTGAGCTCATCATCGGTGCACCCGGTTTGACTCAACTCAGAGAGCTGGAGTGCAGATCACTACGATACTCGTTGACGTGAGTGGCATCTGACTATCTATCAATCAGTAGTATATGGTACCATCTACTTTTGCTTGCTTTTTTGGTTTCCGTGTATGGTGTCAAGCAGTTCGAATCTCGTAATCTGAATAATTTCGGTTTCTAAAGAAAACTGTCGTAAAATTTCACTGGTAATTTGCGATTTAATTCTTATTAGAAATTGTTGAATAAAATGTAGAAGATGAGTTGGAAACTTAATGCCTACAGTAAAATATATTGATGACATTTAATCTTGTATATGCTACTATTGTACACTATGTTTTGTACCACCTAGAGCTGTTACTCAACGATTTCCACGGCATTGCAGGCTGCAATTGGATTCACCATTATCCACGGGTGAGGGTGTGGTAGTCTTAGTTTTAATATAGAGCCTTCCACTTTGTTACCACGTACTATCAGAATTTCATGGTTGTTCTTCTGTTTTTTCTCCACAAAGTATCAACTTTCTGTTCCTGTAATCACTGTTTTCTGCATATCTAATCGTTTGTGGTTGTTTGTTTAATTATGTAGATATCTTGTACAAAAACTGGGTCTATCAGTTACAAATGTTGACCATTCCGGAAACAATCCTGCTCATCTCATATTGATCTATGCATTGAAATCTCTGAAATCGAGCAGTAAAAAGAAACGACGAAAAAGCTCCAAATGTCGTGTAAGAAATTATATTGATTGTACGTCAAAGTGAATTGATTATTTAAAAAAAAATATTAATTAATGTTATTAAAAAACGGAGTTAATTTGAAAAATGTGATGTAATACGGGATACATCACATTTTTGAGCGTCATTTTAATAACGCTATTTTTATGTCGTTGTTAAAGTTGCTACTGCATTTTAAGCCTTGATATTTTTCCGCCAATTGGTTTATCCTTTTAGCTAATTTTGAATAAAAACATTCGCGGTTCATAAGCTTCCTAGTAGGAAGACCATATGTATTATTGATATGAGTATAAAACTTGGCCACTATGGTAGAATATAACTCCATTATGGATAAGATTTTATTTTGATGAAATCGCACAGTGTTATACAGTAATATTAACCGATATTACTGTTATTGTTACTGTATAACACTGTGTGATTTATCAAAATAAAATCTTATCCATAATGGAATTCACAGTTCAACTGGGGAAACCTTACACATACAGAAAACTGTTAAGTTCTGCCTTGGCTCCCAGTTTTAAGATAGGGTGTGAAGTGGTTGAGCGTGTTTAAGAAGCAGAATCAGCCCTAATGAACTTATTACTGACAAAATCTTCGTATGGCAACAAATGGCTCGTATGGCATTTACCAACTTATGTCATTTTTAGTGTAGACTTGATATCCGGCTATTGTTCAAAAGACGTGTGTATTGCGCGGCAGTTTGCTCTACCCCTTCATTACAACCGTAAGATATGGCCATTGGAAGTGGAAGACCTGAAGATGCTACTTGTCTTTGACAGTGGATGATTGCGTTCTATCTCCCACATTAACTGGCGTAATATGGTGAGTAACATTGATGTCAAGCATAGAATGTTAGATAAGGAGAGAAAGCCAGTTGATGAAGTTGTGAAACTACACTGACTGAGATGGCTAGGACACGTGTGATGCATGCCGAGCCACTACCTCCATCGGTAAGCGGTATTACCTAAAATAAGATTAGGTTGGAAGAGAGTTAGAGATAGTCAAATCAGTTCATGAATTCTTCTGCTGTTGTTTTAGACCATATAGGTAGGCGCAGACTGCCTTGTTGAGTTCCTGGGGATTTTAAGAGGCAATGACTTGAGACTGTTAGTGATATGCCTCAAAATCGTTCTCAGTGGCACAGAAGCATTTACTATCTCCACATGAAGTGTAGCAAACTGTACTTGTGCACTTGTGTGCTAAGTTCTACATTGAAACTCAGTCATCCTTGACTCCTACTGGTTGTATTGCCACTTACATATTCTTCTTCATATTAACAGTTTGGCGTATAGTACACAGGTATGGTGTTTAGTACTTCGGTGTAGTATGTATGAGATATGATGGGTTGACAGCAGAAGGAAATCATAGATAATATGTTATTGCAAGCGTGATGTGACCAAGGATTTAGCACAGAAGGTGGCTATCGTGTCTCAATAACTTCACTGAAAAGTTTGTGCATTGTGGAACTGATCAAATTAATTATAATTATATTTTAATAGTTTAATTTTTTAAAACTTATCATTGTGTATAAACTATTGAAGTATAATTATCATTCATTTGTAGGTATCGCTTTGGCGCTGGAAAGAATCAGTGCTGCATTTAAGTTTCAGTTTTAACATCATCACTCACTGTGATGCAGGTACACCTGGTTGATGAGTCTCGAAGAGAACGAAAGAAAAATTTTTGCTGGGTAGACAATTATACAGATCCAAGTAGCCATACAATAGCTTACAGAAAACTGTAGTCTGAAGAGGCAACACCCAGTTATGTGTGTTAATAATGCCTAGTGGCACTGTATATGTACTGGCACATACGAATATGTTTGATTTCGAACTTTTGGAATTAGACTTGCTCCCACGAAAAGGTTTCCTTGACTTAGATAGGTAGTTGAAGACTCCGAGAAAATGCAATCTTCTGAACAATCTGGATATTTTTAGCATGCAATTCCCCTCTATCAGTATTATTATAAACTACCGGTCGGCTAATATTTTAAGAATCATAAGTGTTATCGTCGAATGTGTTGATCTTTTATCTTGATAAACTGACTGTTATTAAAATCTGACAACCGATACATAAACCTCTTTTGGATGCGTTAGTCTGCCTCATTTTTAGTGCTGAAGTAATATCAAGCTACCCGCTAATCGCGTCGGTTCAGTCTAGACATCAGCCTTATTGCTATTACACGTAGAGGTAATAAAAAGTTGTATCAAGCTTTGATAGAGAATATACTTATCTAATAATAACAGTAATTCAAATAACAATAATCCTATTGACAGAAATTGAAACTCGATATTGTGGTTGGATTGTAACGTGCTTATCATGAGATTTGAAAGTTATGGACGCGAACTTGTGTAGAGTTAATTGAGTGAACTGTTGAAGAGTTCCACTTCCCCTGTTTGTCATCTAATATGCAAATCATCTTGATCTATTGTGAAAACTTCTTTAAGACCAACCACATTTTTTTATTTTTCGACTTTCGATTACAGCTTGATTCCAACACCGTATTTTTTGGTACAGGTATGGAATTTTCAGCATGTGATATCGGTAGCCCAAATTCTGCAGGCCGACCATAGATATCAGGTGTGCGTCGGCAGAGGATAATAGTACTATTACCTACAGTAATTATTATTATTACTGTTTTAGGTGGAACATAAGGCTTCAACAACACATCTCCATTTTATCCTGTTTTCTGCGGTTGTCTTTAGCTGGTTCGACTATTGTCCATAAGCTTTCATCTTGATATGACCGTTAATAGACTTGGTGGTTGCGTTAATGAGTTTTCTACCTACTTGACTCGCAAGTCTATTGTTCTAACCACTAGCAACAACAACGTGATACGGTACCACCGAAAACGCGACGCAAGAAGAGAAGTCTGACTGTTGATGTGGAGAGCTTTTACTGTCTCGTATCAACAATGAAAATGATTGACAGGGCTTATATATATATATATATATATACGCTTTAAAATGACCATGAGAGACACTAATGACATTGATTAATTAAAACAGTTAACAACGGATAGGATTTCAAAGGTCATAAATGGGGTCAGATAAGTTCAAACAGGCATATCAAAATGACGTGAAAATTTGGTCTGTACATCACATCTCCTCACGTGATTTCCCCCATGTCACTGTTGGACCCACACGCAACTCGTAGTTTTCCATTCGGGTTCCACCTGGAGGCCTGGCGTGTTATGTCACATAGGGGTATCCTCAGCGTGTGTCCCACCCACCTCCATTTCCTTCTGTATATTTTTTGGGCAATAGGTTTTTGGTTTGTTTGTCTGTTTCCAGAGTTCCATGTTACTTATGCTTTCTGGTGGTCTTATCCTCAGTATGGAGCGAAGGTTTCGAAGCTGATTTCAGATTAATGAAGGTCTGTCATGCCTTTTCAATCCTCTCCTTGACATCTTCACCCGTGTCACCTGTAGTTTACACGATGCTGCCTAGATAAGTGAAAGAAGGGACTTCTTTGAAATTTCTGCCGTTGGAAGTTTTGATGTTTGTTGCTGTTGGTCACGTATCTTCATAGCCTTTGTCTTCTCCATGTTCACCTGAATTTCTGTCTTAGCTACTTCTTTTGCCAACTTGTTGATCTTCGAGTTTGTGTGACTTTAGACATAAACCATCTGCGGAGCCCAGATTTTCTAGAGTCTTCTTGTTGGCCCAACCGATTGCCGCTTTCTCGTTCTCTACAGCAATAGTAGAACTAATCTGGTTGTCTTGTTTTAAATATTTTTTTAGGTTGTGAACTGTTGAAAATTGTTTTACACCAGCACACAAATCTTCTTACTATATCAAACAAACGAGGACAAAAGGTAACTGACCTGTTACAAGAACTATGGAATGTTTCATCAAAATCTGAACGTGAAGTTGGAGATAGTGTAAGAGTTCATTTGTTGAAAAGCGAAACACCTTTTCCTTTTCTTAGCTTATTATTTTATGACAAAATATATCCATCTATTCATGAATGAGGAAAAGAACAGTTTTTGTTCAGCGTAGAAATATTTCCTTTCAATCATTTGTACAATCGTTTGTAACACATTAGTAGCACTGAAGAAAGTGCTCAGTCAATGTGTATATGATAATAATAAAGACAATTAACACTGATTTTTAAGAGGATAAAATTGAAGTGGATGAATTATAAAATTTTCAAAGATTATTAAATAAGTGAATTAGTATTAAGAGGTTTAAAGTAGGTCAAATAGTGTCAAAAATTAAAATTGTAATGGTGATGATAATAATGATAATGAAGGAGAAAATACAGTGAAGAGGAATTGAATTAATCTAAACAAAGGAACATTACTATGACGAAGATAAAGGGGTCTAACCAAAATAATTTTGAATATACGGTTTAGGCTATTGTCCATGTATATATACATAGCTAGTGCTTCGGCTAATACATAAATGGTGAAAATGTAAACAATTTGAGTGGTTGACTTTAGCCCCCGTAGATAACTTTAAAGAATAAAATGCATGTGGGAAAGGGGGACCTGATTCAAGAAGGTGTTCACAAACCAAATACTTTGTCACCCTATGTTCGCTACGCATTTCCGGAAAAACGTTTTATCCATAATGGAGTGATGTGAAAATAGATACATAAATATGAGTATAAAAAAAGGGAATTATAACGCCTTCAGTTTCAGTCATCAGCATCCATTACGTCGGTAAGGATCCGTCAACAGAAGAATATCTCAGATAGGTCTCACTATGGGATGAGGATGAATGGTTAACGAAATCTTTTGAATGGTGATAAGACCTGAATTAATTCGCACTACTATTGCTACCATTAATTTCTAACGCCTCAAGTCTCTATCTAGCCTGTCAGTCTACATATGCTTGCCATATGACTTGGATTAACAGTCACTGACTTTTCATAGATTAATATCATATTCTTGTGTGACCTCTCTTAATTTCCAATATAATCTGCAAGATAGTGGTTCTCATGGAAACAAAGGATACTATTAATGAACAGTTACTAACTCTACTTCAGTGGTGAAGTGTTCACCGTTTAGAGTTGAATTGTGAAAGTGGGAATCATCCAAAATTAAGTTTCTATTGTTCCCCAAGACAATTTTAGTTCAAAGAGAAGTAAGCGATTCCATATATTTCAGAGTTGAGGCAGCTATACTTTGGAAATATCCTAAAATAGAATCTCTATCCATTCACAGTTTTATGCATTGACGACCCTATGCACCGATAGAAGTGTTCCCATCATTATGGTGCTACATTTGAGGAATTCTTGCATATTTTTATCTTGAAAAGCACGGTATTACCATTTCATTTCACCTAATAAATATTGGGTACAGTTCCACTACTCCACAGTCAGTTTATAATATGCAGTCATTCAATAATATTGTCAGCTATAAACAGACAAATCATCAGCAAATTACAAGTTGACAAGTCTTAACTTATATGCACAATTCAATATTTTTATATAAGTATAAGAATATCATCTTGGTTTATTTTACAAATGTATCCTTGGGTATCCGACAGTCTTTTTACTTTAATTACGAATAATGACTGCTGTAAGATTCTGGAATTAGGGTGGCATTTAAACCAATCAACTCTCTCAGAGATAAAATTTGTCGGCTTAAGGACCCAACAGATCAAGTTGAGAAAAATAATTTAATTTACTAAATACCATTTGATGACTTTGAGGTCGATTATGTAGGTCAAACAAGTAGATCGGAGTCAATTAGATTCTTTGAACATGACAATTTAGCTAGACCTAGAGTGACTGACCCTGCTAAGGCACACAACCTAGACTGACTATTGCTTATTATTCTCACGCACATTCACTATTCGTAAATCACACTTCTTCTATAAGCTGTTACATTTTTTAAACTTTTCTATAAGAAATTATTTGGAATTTTTCTGGATGTGTTTTTTTTTTTACAAATAGAGTTGTAATTAGAATGAATTACCTTTAATCTATTCTACTTTTGTCTACCCCTTATTGTATCTATCAGATCCTGAAGTGCATCTTGTCTGATAGTCATAGTCCAGTTCACCCGTCAACTTCATCAACTAAACCGACAGAACATGATGATGAGATGTATTCATTTTTATCTGATTCAGATGAAGCAAATTATTCATCAAATGAATGGGAGGATTATTTCTCAGGTATGTATTTTATCGATTTGCTGAGTTTGTGTAGATTTCATTTGATTTCAAGATCTGGTCTGTAACAAACCGACGTCCGCTAGAGAATCACTGGAGGCTAAAGCATACCTCATTGTTGTATCGTCTCGTCCCGTCCCGTTGTAGATTTGGACAATTATTTTGCTGTCCAGCCATTGAGCTATAATAAAAAGACCTGTGACTCCAAATTACTTACTTTCAATATTAGAGATATTGCCGTCTAATGTCATCTGTAAGTAACTCTCCTCACTGGTAATGACTGATTCCAGGTTTGATCACGAGCTGATATCAGTTAGAGAACCACTGGAAAACCAGGGAGTACTGGCCAGATGTTCTGTCCCAGTTTTGGGACTCTCCAGAAGTATGCACGCAAATTTGTCACTGAAAATAATAGATAAAAATTAATTAAAATCCTCACAGATGGAAATAACAGTGATTGCCGTTAAAATTAAGCGGATTTTATTTAGTTCAGAAGTCTGGGGTTCGGACCCAGGACCTTGTCGTTACAAGACGAGCTCGTAGACCATCCAGCCACAGGGACTCGACGCAATCGCCCATGAATCCCGACTTCTACGGACTCGCGATATACAGAGCAACCACCAGCCAGTGTCATCGGCAAGTGACTGTCCTTTTACCTGACTTAGTGGAACCCACTGGTTATAACTTCTCACTGCCGAAGGGTCCCAAACTACCACGAAACAGCTGTTCTGTATCCCCTGGTTTTCCTGTGGCTCTCCAACTGATGTCAGAGCGTGATGAAACCTACAAACAATCGAATCCCTGCAAAACCAAAAATTGAAAATCACTGATTAGCTTCGTTTTAGCGAAAAGTCATTAATTGTAGTGTCTACTGATTTGAATATAGGGATAGTAGCTGCATTGCACACTATCAGATTTCGGAAATGATGATTCGAAAGATTTCAGACTGCTATAATTAAATCGTTGCATGTTTGCCGCTAGTCCTGACGTTCATACATGCTACCCTAATGGGGTTGTGAATATACAGTCTCTTAAGGATCTCCAAACTGGAACGAAACAACTGTGTAGTACCACTTAGTTGACAATGGTTTTCTAACATTTATATCGGTTTGTAAGGAGACACACCTTGAAGTAATTCATTATGGGTAAATTTTGTTTTGATGAAGTCTCACAGTGTTATACAGTAATGTTTACTGATGACGTTTCGAGCACAATTTATTGCTCATAATCATATCAAGGTAATTTTATCACTTTATATTTTAACTGTTACCGTTGGTCTCTGCCGGCAAAAATGATCGATTAATGTCCGTATTTCGCATTTATCTCATCGCCACCAGCAAAACTTCACTCGTTCGTAATTCTTAGAGCTTATAGGCGGTTATGTTAGGCTTTTTCTGTTCGTCTGAAACCTTCGTAACCAGTAAGCTTAGTCCATAATGCAATAAATTACAAGTATCTATATTTGTTTTCAATTTAATTTTAGGAGTAGAGATTTATTTCATTTATTGTAATGGATGTTGTGTAACACTCTATTGGTTTCAGCATTTTTCCCCATGTTTGCATAAATCTGATTCAACATAGGGCAAATTATAAAGTTTCTGAATGTGCTTAGATAACTTAATCCTCAATATTCGGAAATAGGTGATTGTGTCCACATCTCTTTCTCTGTAAAAAATGAGTGTTCCTGTGATTACTGTTTGTTTTTGAACAAGTGTTAAAACAAATAATATAGATATGAAGTATGAGTAGGAATAAATTAATTAAAACAATTAGATTACTGGAATTTCCAGATGATCAAGAGGTAAATACGTCTTCATAGCTCTAGATGATGTTGAGGCATCTGTCACCTAGGAGTCCCTCAAATCTTTTGATTTCTTAACTGATTATCTTGTACATAATGTGAGTGGATTCCATGTCTTTTTTCAAACAAACTAAACTGTTTAATCCGATTGGAATCCTGACTTAGATGTCAAGAAATGGCGGTTTCTGGGTTCCAGGACTCACTGTATTTTTTTTCGACTGGAAAAGTCGACAGTCACACATGGAAAGTGGATGACACCTTGTTGAATAATCTAATACTAGACTGATAACTGGCATTATTAAGTGCAGCGTGGCGTAGATATTGGACGCATAGCATCATTTGTAACCCTCTTATTTAGTGCAACTTCACAACTTTATCGATTGACATACCCTGTTTAAACCCTTGAACTAGGTAAATTTCGCCGGCTTCTTACATCGATCATTGCAAAGTTCATCTTCGATTGATGTGATTATTTTTAGCTACCATTTTCAGTGACGAACATTTAAATTCAGTTAAGATACAATAGTGAATGTTTGGTGCTTTTTGTTTTCGTTTCTTTATAACATGTTTCAAACTAAGAAAGCTTATTTTAGAAATGACCATTTAAAAAATTATTTACATGAGGTTTAAATCGGTTTTCAATGATTCTTCAACTGATGTTGAAGTATGATGCAGATTGAAAGGAAGCGGTCAAAACTGGAATCGACATTTTACGTCAATAGCTGCAGAGGTAGAAGTGTTTATTCCTCAAATCTGGATTTAGTTTACGTTGTGGACATGAAATAACCTCACTGGGCAACTTGTTTAACCTTGGGGCAGTTACCGACCAATCAGAACAATTTACTCTCATCTGGCATAGAGGAACTTTAATATTGCTAATAATGTATAGCTAGGATGAGTATTTCCTTAATAAACATCCGTTACCAAGTCTCTTATCTTCTCCCGTTACAATGTTAGTTCATGAAATTCATCCAAATCCCTACAAAATCCATAATATAAATATCAAGCTCCAGCTCATTAATAGTTACTGGATGGATGTCCTGGAATTCTGATAAGAATTCTTGACCAGAGGAGAAAACTATGTCAGAGTGAAGTGAGATGTTTGTCGATAGTACCGGTTGCGGGTAGCACTATATCGCAAGTTGACAGAAGTTAGTATTAACGCGTCATTGAATTTCGACCCAATGGTCAATAGCCTGGCCTCGTTAATCTGAAAGTCGTAGGTGCACACTGCTAGAGAGTTCGAAACCAGGACGGAAGATATGTTGATTACTCCATAGTTTTCAGTGGTACTTTGATTGATATTGTCTCTTGACGAAAATCTATACTGACGTTTAAAATTTAATTTTAAGTCAAATATGGGTCCCAGGCGAAGCCGGTCTATTCAAATCCTGCAGATTTTTAACCTCAATCATTGAGTCTATTAGCTAATATCCGTTCAAAAATTGTGTGGTTGGCATTTTTGTACGCGTCTTTAGTCTAGTTTATTTGATTTTCGTGTTATCCTCTCCTTAATATTAAGCAAAGTTATTCACAAATATGTTAATTTGTTTGTTTACACTTCAATTGTTTTTTTGTAGGTTTTGCTGACAGACCATTCAGATCTCATTTAGACAGCATCAGGGAAGAGTATGAACGTCGTAATCGGCCTACTGGTATACCAAATGTACCGAAATCGCGCAAAAATAGTAATACAGAGACTAACCCCCCAGGATTTTATGATCACCTTGGGTCAAATAATGAGTTGCCAAGTCGAAAAATAATCAATCAGGACCTAGGAAGCAAAACAATAAATATTTCATATGAAGAGTATCTAGAGAAATGGAAAGAATTTATCAACTCTGATGAGAATAAAATTCTCAATTATCATGATATATTATGGCCTCCATTCAGTAGAGTCATTGAAATAAATTCATTGGAATCTTCGCATATTGAAGACATACTAACATTTGTACACCATTCAAGTCAAGCATTACGTCAACTACAAGTGGATTGGCATCCAGATAAGTTTTCTGGACGTTTTGGAACACGTTTTAAATCAGAACGTGTTAAAAATAGAGTTATGAAACGTGTTGTAAATATATCTCAACTTTTAAATAAAGCTACTGATTATTTACGCAATAAAGAAGAATCTGTATGATTATTAAGATGATGTCACATATCTGACTTATGTTTTGCTTTACATTCTGTTACGTAACCATCGCTTATTTAGCATAGGAGATAAGGTTGAGCACTGTCAGTTTACTTTCCTCAATGTTTTGAAAGTGATTGCTGGCTTGTGCGAATGACAGTTACCACCTAATGAGGTGCAATCACCACAAGTCATTTTCTCATGCATTCTTATGTATGTTTTCGTAAATGCATCTAGAATTATTACAGATAGACTATCTATCTAATTTAGATTAACTAGTGAACAAGTTCAATCCAATCAATCTTTAAAACAACATCAACTGTAATTCCAGCGTGTTCCAAAAAAACCAAATCAAGTTTTCTCTTAGCAGAAAGCTTTTGAGGTGAATGTAGGAGTAAGAAAGACTGTCTATTATTATCGATGATATTTCAGTTGTGGTGGACTGGATTATGTGGAAGACTGGGGAGCGAGAGGACACGAATGCGTGCCACAGATAAGAACACTCTAGAAGATGTGGACTTCATGGATGATTTATTCCTAGTGTCACACAAACTCGAAGACTTACAGACGAAAACCGGAAAACTGACAGAAGAGGCAGGTAGTGAAGACGGGACTTCAAGTAAACATAGAGAAGACGGAGGTAATGAATAACCAACCAACAACAACAACAATCATTATCAAAGGAGTAAACTTGGAGAGGTGACTTCCTTCACTTATCTACACAGCATCGTTTCAACTGCAGTGGGAACGAATGAGGATGTCAAAACAAAAGTCGAAAATGCAAGGTATACACATTCATTACTGTGAAATCAGTTCGGAAATTTGCAGCAATTAACAAACACATTAGTGTAGACCAAATTGACCAACTACTAAAAAATAAATCACATGACAAGAAAGCTCAAATTCCAAATGAATAAAAATGATCAGTAGGGATGTAAGTCAACGACCAGTCACGACAGCGGTTTCTAAGATACCCAATTCCATCATTCGTGGATAATTCAAATGAGTTTATTCCATACTAAAAACTTGCGCTGAAGATGTCTAGAAGGACGATGAGAGCTTTACAATTAAATCAACCAGCTCAGAAAACACAACTAATTCAAAAACCCAACATAAACAACAAAATTTGGATTTCCAACACCAATGTTATAGATCAGAAACTTGGCTAATGTTTTATGAAAAGCATTTCAAACAGGCTACTTCATACTTTTATCAACAGCTGCCTTCGCTCTATATTGAAGATTAAATGGCCAAAATGAATCAGCAACAACAAACTCTGGAAACAAACCAACCAAGAGCCTATCGCTCGAGGAATATGCAGAAGAAAATGGGGGGGGTGTGGAACCTGAATAGGAAACGACATGTTGTGTATGGGTTCAAGGATGACATGGAGGAGATCGGTTGAGGGTAAGATGAGAGACTATGGGCAATTGTGGGACCAGCTAAGGATGATCGCAGAAAATAGGACAAAGGGGAGATGTACTTTTGAAGCACTATTTTCTACTCGGAATCCACGGGAACAATAATAATATATACTAATAAAAAGCCAGTTATAGATGTAAGAATAGAACTTGTGCACTGTGGTAGAGTATAATTCCATTATGGGTAAAACTTATCTTGATAAAGTCTTACAATGCTATAGTTATATTTACTAATGACGTTTCGAGCACAGTTTATTGCTCATAATCATATCAAGGTGATATAATTATGTGCAATAAATTGTGCTCGAAACGTCATCAATAAATATAACTGTATAACACTCTAAGACTTTATCAAAATAAATTTTACACATATAACAGTTATAGATGACTACATTGCAAATTTAACCGATAGGATTCAGGTCAACACAAATACCAAAGACTACAGAAATGACATATATTACCCTCTAGTGACCAATAGCTGCCTGTATTCATAACATTCCCCCAGTGAGAGTTAGTCTTGAGCCCGAATAGCTCAGTGATAACGACTCTGACTGCGGCGCTGGGTGACACACCCCATTCCAAGGCCTTCTATCAACTGCCTCCAACCAGTTAACATCAAAGTGAATCGCATGTTAGACTCTGAATGAGTCTGCATCAGGGTATACTGTTCAAATATAGAAGTAATAAAAATGTGAACATACTTTCACTAGTCATTCAGTTAATTTCTTTATCAACATCACATCAATCGTCAAGATGCACTATGAAGTGAAAAGCAATTTGTCGAAAGAAATATATCGTCTATCGAAGAGAAACACTCTTATTTAGTTACAGTTATTACACTCTTTTCTAAATAACTGTTAGGTAATTAAGAACCAAAATGACGCTATAAAAGCACGAATAAATTACGTAATCATTACATGATATGATGTAAATGATGAGAGATTCACACTATTTAACAAGTATAAGTCATTTTCACATCAGACTTATTTCATATGTCTTTGTAAACGATAGATTTAAGACTAAAAGTTTATTTCAAGTCACTATAGTGAGACTGTGATAGTCTTTTAGCAGAGCTGAAACGACAACAACAAAATGATATATACTCATACAATTTGATTGCTTTCTCAACGGCTAAACACAGTCTTCAAAATTCATAGAATTTTTACGTTTTAGATGTCTGTTATATTAGGCGAGTAATTTAATTATTTGTCGTCAAACGAATAAAAACTGAAACAGATAAGATCCAGACATTTGAATGAAAGCAGTCAAACACATTAACTCGTTCGTTTAAAGTAAGTGGTTGTAATGAGCCATTTAGGAAACAAAAGCTTTCCGGAGGTTATCCATTGTAGAGAAATCCATATTAGTTACACAAAGGTTACTTTCTGGCATATCATCTCATGCATTGTTTAATATATACGCAGGTGAATCATTAATATTCATTATTTATTTCACACACTAGCATAATCATTGATTTCACGCATCTGCGTGATTATTGATTTAAATTACTGAATTCCCAGGGTTTGTTAATATTTTTAAAATGTGACATTGATTTTTCTAATTGTATAAATACGGAGTTGTTGTTTAACATTTTCGACTGTTGTTTGAGACAGTAAAAGCTCTCATATCAACGTCCAGTCTTCTCTTTTATTTGTCTTGCGTGCCCGGCGGTATTATTGTTGTTGACGTGCGATTAAGACAGATTAGCCAGCGCATTAGTTAGATTCGCTCGTAGTCTACAAGGTCCTCATATTCACATACATAACAAATTTGGCGACGGGTTTGTTCAAGATGGACTCACGGCGTTTAGAGAAACTAATGGAACAGCAGCTAAAATTGATGGAAATGCTTGCTGGACTACAAATATCACGCTCTGCTGATTCATCTACAGCCTACGACAGCATTGGTAGCAGCATCTCAGAATTCGTTTATGATCCAAATGCGAACGTAACATTTGATACCTGGTTTCGCAGATATGAAGACCTATTTCGAGTAGACTTTGCGGATAAAGATGATGCCTGGAAAGTACGGCTTCTACTTCGTAAATTGGGAGCAGATGAGCTAGATAAATACTGCAACTTAATTCTCCCACAGAAGCCCAGCGAAAGATCATTCAATGAAACTGTCCATACCCTTCGTCATCAGTTTGGTGATCAGAGATCGTTATTCAACATTCGATATCATTGCATGAAACTAGTTTTGAACGAAAATGATGATATCCATACTCAGTTGGGTATAGTCAATCGCACGTGTGAACGTTTCAAATTGAAATCACTCTCAGAAGACCAGTTCAAGGTATTGATTTTCATTTGTGGTTTGCAGTCTTCCAAATTTGCTGATATACGCACACGTCTATTAAATCGTCTGGAACAAGATCCACGAATGACTTTGAAAGACGTTGGTGAAGAATATCAGCGTTTAATCAACATTCACAACGATACCGTCTTGGTGCAGTCTGGCAGCCAAAATGCAGCAGAAGTGCATGCTGTGCATCCAGTACCGTCGACATCAACCGCACCGCTTCATCCTTAGCATAAACCACCATCAGCCTGCTGGCACTGTGGCTCCTGGCATTTTGCAAACTTGTGCCCATTCAAACAGCATAAATGCCGTCAGTGCCATACTGTTGGTCACAAAGATGGCTACTGCAAACGCAACAACCAACCCAGATCTCGTAGTCGACCCAGACGGCGCAACAAGCCTAAGTCTTTGGGTGTTACTGCCGCATATCATATTAGTACTCCAGCACCTCGCAAATATATCGATCTGACGATTAATACACGGCCGGCACGCCTACAAATCGACACAGCATCCGATATTACAATAATATCAAAGAAATTATGGCAGAAGTTGGGATGCCCTACCATAGAGAAGACAAATCAAATAGCAATTAGTGCATGTGGTGGAAGACTTCGATTGAATGGAGAAATTAAATGCAGCGTTGATTTTCGCGATAGTCATTTCGTTGGCACATGCTACACCAACAATTCAAACCTCGACCTCTTGGGTTTAGACTGGTTCGAGAAGCTGCACCTGTCAGAGATTCCGTTAAGCAGTGTATGCCAAAAGATCGAAAGTATTGAGCCCTCAACAAGAAAACCAGAAATCAGAGACAGATATATTAAACCTAAGCCCATTAGAAAGAATGACGTGATTAATGAAAAACCAACTTCGAAGCGTCACAGTGAGTATGGCTGCGCCAAAAGTGCTTCGATGTCTGGTAGCAACAAAGTCGCAACTGTTAGCTCCAGTAAGAGAGGATCTACTCAAAAACTGAAAGTGATGTCTGCCATGGCAGCGAAAGATCCGCCACCGAGAGCATGGCCCACGTCAAAACCATGGTCCTGCCTACATGTGGATTTTGCTGGGCCGATAGAAGGTATATACTACTTGGTTCTCGTGGACTCTTACTCAAAGTGGCCGGAGGTAGTACAAGTGACACCACCTTCTAGCAGCAGAACAGTATCAGTCCTGGAAAAGATCTTCGCATGTCACGGTATACCAGAAACCATCGTATCTGACAATGGCAGTCAGTTCACCTCACAAGCGTTCCAGAAATTTTGCAAGAGAAACGGTATACAACACGTGCGGACGCCACCTTATCACCCTCAATCCAACGGTCAGGCAGAAAGATTTGTCGACACTTTCAAACGAGCGTTGTTGAAAGCAGGGGGAGGGGCGAAACCGGAAGCAATACAAAACTTTCTTTTTGTATACCGAACTACACCACTGGCAGAACAGAAGAAAAGCCCTGCAGAACTTCTAATGGGTCGAATGCTACGAACTCATCACCACTCCATGTTACCATCTTCGTCACATCAACGAAGAAATAGTCTGAAGTATTACCGCAAGGGTGATGCCGTCTATGTGCGCGATTATCGACCGAGGAACAGAAAATGGGCCGCAGGCTTGATAGAATGTCGACATGGAACTCTAATGTACAAGGTTAAAGTTGGGGATGAATGGTGGACAAGACATAAAAGTCAGATACGACGTCGATATACTACATCCCAAGAACCTAAATTGCCACTGGATTTACTACTGGAAACTTTCAAAATACCACCAGTCAAACCAGAAGCAAAACAAGAGATGCTACCCAGCCGACGATCCCAGCGCAAACGAACACAAACAGTTCATTTCCAAATCGACCCCAAGGAAAAAAGATACTAAACTGTTTGCAAGATTCCTTTTAAAAGGGGGAGGTAATATATACGCAGGTGAATCATTAATATTCATTATTTATTTCACACACTAGCATAATCATTGATTTCACGCATCTGCGTGATTATTGATTTAAAT